AAATCATCATGATAATCCTTTTGTATTGAAATATTGAATGTTAAGCGTATGGCTTGTCCTAGGTGAATTTAAACTTTCAGTCCTAATTAAATGTGATTGCGTATATATATATATGTGTGTGTGTACGTATGATTCGTATCAAAATGAAATCAGGGAACATAATGCAAATAATGAAACAGATAGATAAAACATTTTCACTACCTATAGTCACCAAGATGTTTCTATTTGATTAAGAAACGTCGAAATACTTTTACTGAATGTCGAAGATTTATATCTTATCATTATATCATTGACGTTGATATATATCTTAGTAAGTAGCTTTTGATTGAAAGGGAAAATATATACTGTACCTTTTGCTTTTCCCTCTTGCCTCTTCCTTTTAACTGGCCCTACAATACATTGAAATATGTAATAAAACGTTTTTAGTGACTTGTTTGGAGGTTTATACTTATTCACCTGATATGATATGTTAACATATATAAAATTACAGAGCACATATAAAGTGTTTTCATGTAAGCAGTTTCTTTGTTCACATTTTGTATCGATTTTTAGTTCTAACAACAAACTTGAACAATACCATCTTAACATGATGTAGAGGAAATACTCGTGCTTAAAATAAATGAAATCATTTAAATCGTTGCTATAGAAAAAAATATCTTCCTTCCCCTGTACATTTTGAATTGTTTCAATGTAAGTCGTTTCTTTGCTCACATTTTAAAATTGTTGTATCGAGTTTGAATTCTAACAATAACTTAAACAATACTCACTCTCTATTTCTTCGTTATGGTCACCTTCTGGGTCGTTTTCTTAATAAGAGAGTAACGACATTGATAGACACAAAAATTCAAATGGTATAAGTTTTTAAACCACAATTAAAGGTTGCTTTGAGCATTCTTTGCTATGACAGATAAAAAAATGCTAAACATAATGTAAAGGAAATACTCGTGCTTAAAATAAACGAAATCATTTAAATCGTTGCTATAGAAATAAATATCTCAGATATAACTATATTGTATTTTTATCTAGCCGGACCAGTTCCTTTCCCTGTACATTTTGAAGTGTTTCAATGTAAGTCGTTTCTTTGCTCACATTTTAAAAGTGTTGTATCGAGTTTGAATTCTAACAATAACTTAAACAATACTCACTCTCTATTTCTTCGTTATGGTCACCTTCTGGGTCGTTTTCTTAATAAGAGAGTAACGACATTGATAGACACAAACATTCAAACGGTATAAGTTTTTAAACCACAATTAAAGGTTGCTTTGAGCATTCTTTGCTATGACAGATAAAAAAACATAATGTAGAGGAAATGCTTGTGCTTGAAATAAACGAAATCATTAAAATCGTTGCTATAGAAATAAATATCACAGATATATCCATATTGTATTTTTATCCAGCCGGAACAGTTTCTGTCCCTGTACATTTTGAAGTGTTGCATGTTAAGTAATCTTTGCTCTTTTTTTATCGATTTTGAATTCTGAGCACAAACTTTATGTCATGAGATCCATAAGGGACAATACTCACTCTCCTGGCCTGGTCCTCCGCATCTACTTTGGGGTCATAATCCCTATCGTAATAATCGCCGTCTGAATTCAAAAATAATTTCATTAAGATATTTTGGATTTGCCATTTTTAGGTCACCTGAGCTTTAGCTCAAGTGACCTATTGCTATCCGTTTTCGTCCGTCGTCCGTTAACATTTACATTTCAAACTTAAAGTCAAGTTCTGCTGAGCCGATTGAACTGAAAATTGGTAGGAATGATCGCCTCATGGTCCTGACAAAGTGTTGTTATTTTTCGGGTCGATCAGAAATC